TATTACCTCGGTTTTTTGAGAAATATAAATATTAGAGACGCTTCAAATCACTGTTACTTCATTTTTATGTTTTTTTAATTATTTAATTAGTATTTCTAACTTTGCGCCTTTCTAGATACTATTTTTCCAAGTTAATTAATAAAACTCAAAATCTTTGTAATCAATAAAAAATATTACGCAATAATACAATTGAAAAGGAAAGGAAAAATTTCTTTGATAATCAGAGAAGTAAGACAATAGATAATTATTCCACATATTCAAACTTCTGACTCCACTCAACTTCAACAGCTAATCCTGTTCTTTTTACCCTTTTAACTATTCCTAACTAAGAGAAATATTCAGAAAGAACTCTTCCATATAGTATGAGGAAAGTTATTTCATCGTAAGAGATCACAACCATTTTCATTAAGAAGTTAAAAGTAATAAGAGGAAGATAAATTTTGACGTTGTGGATAAGGAAGTACAAAAGATGCTTGTCATCTGAAGTAAGGGTTTCTAGTTGTTTCTCTCTTGGACGGAGATTTGACACTAGAAGTTCATGTCAAACTTTTGCAATTAAGATTAGAGTAGTAGGATTGGTGAGGTTATTGTAGTTGGCATATATTATGAGAAGGTGGTTTGAGAAGACATTGTTGAATATATATTGTTCAACACAACTACCTTTCTTTCTATTTCTACTTTATTGTTTGAGAAATAAGTGATGGAGTAATGGTGATAGAAAAACCATATATATTGAACTGTTTTGACTTATCATCCTCACCAGATTACCTAAGTGAGACATTTAACCATAACTTTGTTACGAGATTAGTGTAGATGGGTCTATGAAGCATGTCAAAGTAACCTTTCAACTTATATTTAGAAATATTTTTCATTAGATCAAAACCTTGGTTTTTCAACTCATTGAAATCAATAAATTTTTCATTGATAGCGAACAAAGATTTTCATCTCCGTAAAAGGTTTTTGTAGACATTTTTTGAATAAAAAGAAAAGACTTTTAAATGAAATGAGATTTGAATAGTGTATAAATAAATTGAAAAAGAGGAAGTGAAACAATTAGAGAAGCTCAAACGCTTCCTTGAAAATTCAAAAGATACGTTATATATTAAATATGGATGGTCATTACTATTCTAATAATATGATTCCAAAGCGTGATGTGTAATTTATTTTTAAATATAAAAACCACATATTACCTCAGTTTTTTTATATAAGCGAGGGGAAAAACCAGGAACAAACAATCCAAGAACCTTTCTTTTTTATTATATTTTTTATTAGTAAATATTCTTTGTAATCAATTAAATGTAAAAAAAAAAAAAAAAACAAGAGTTATTTACTTTGATTTTCTATTAAAATGAGGGTTAAAGCATTTTACCTAAATTAAACATAAAAAATTATTTGTGATTCTGTTGATCAAATATATGTCGTTCATTTCATGACATATCAACGCTCAAGACGCTGTCATTAATGATCCACTTGAAACATAAAAACTTCCATTATAAAAGCATATTTCTGAATATGAAGAAGCAACTCAAACATCATGAAGCGCTTGAAACTATCTAATCCACCTCTTTAAGCTTTACAAGATCATTCGTCTTGAAAAGATGGATAAGATGGATGCAAGAGCAGAAAATTATTATAGGCTTGCGTTTTTAAATATTTATTTGAGCAAAAATCATTTATTAATCTAACCCTTTTTTTTATGAATTCTTTTTTTGTTTTATATAAGAAACAAATCCATTCGAGGTAAAGTCATTGAGAATATAGTCAAACCCAACATTTGATCTTCTCCAAATATCAAGGATTCGAAGATCTAATATATGATCTTCATGGACTAATTAATTTTTATTTTAATATTTTATGTAAACAATATGTAATATTCTGGGTAAACATTGTAGTTTGTAAGTAAATTATTTTATTAATATTTTGTGTAAATAATGTAACAAGTTTTAATTATAGAAAAAACAATTTATCTTACCCCTCGGTTTTGTGGATAAACCGAGGGGTATGAGGCGTTGTTTTTATAAATAATAAAAATGCATATGTTGAGGTTGGAAACCATGATCAGATAATTTTACCCCTCAGTTTTTCATTAATCGAAATTTTAAATGACATCTTTTTATGTCACCATTCATTACGTTGTATCGGTAGCCTATGTTACATATTTTCGCGTGCAACGTTAAAAGTGTTATTTGTAGTAATAACATGCTGAAGGATCCATTGAAAGATACAAATGCTACATACAAATTGAAAACATTAATTATATGGAAACATTTTCACTTGTGGCAAAGGTGAGAAGTGTAAGATTGCAAAATGCTTCCAAAAATTTGCATCTCATTTAACTCGATGTCCACAACGCCTTTCTCCTATATGTCCCTAATTAGGTCTGTAAATTACAAAAATTCCGCCATGAATTAAAACAAACAAGCAAACAATTGTTTGCTAAATTGTCCTCTTTACTCGCTTCCTTCCTATACAAACAATCTCAAATTAACAAATTACTCTCCTTTCATTAAAATTGAGAGTAAAAAATTTACCCACCCTTCCCTTCTACTTATTTATATTGATGATATCATCGTATCAAGAAATGATATTAATGAAATTTAGAGTTTAAAATCAAAACTTGATTTAAACATCAAAATCAAGGATCCTAGTAATTTGCAATTTTTTCTCGGTGTTAAAGTTATTCAATCATCTGAAGGTATTGGCCATAGTATATATCTATGTATAAAAGCATGGATATGACTCCAATTAGTCAATTAAGATTAAGATGTGAACCTAAGTGCTGACGTTAAGTAACATCAATGGCTTTGTGAAGTGATTGTGATGGTAATCGTAGCATCCAAGCAAACATTGACCATGTTGGGTTGTAATTAAATAGTACAAATAACCAAGTAAATAAGGCATGGATTGTTAATTACGAATGCGGTGACCTCAGGATTATTCTCCCAACTACAAAGACAAATCTATTTCTTCCTTGGATTAATCTTAAACGATATCCATTTGACTATTTTCATTCTAGATTTTGCTAATTTGCATGCCTGGTCTAACTCTTACATTATTCATCACGTCTTCCATCCTCCATTCCTTTTCTTTAACAATCTTTTTCTGGTTTTACTCTAAATATCTTCTATTAATTGTAATATATATGAAAAATGTAATGAAATTTTTCAATCAAATAGATTTACTTTTTTGAACGTATTATGTTTTCTTTGAAATTTTTAACAGTGACCACAGTATGACTAAATTTGGATGATAAATCGCAAGTTGTAAAGAACTTAAATGTTCTTATTAAGATAAAACAACAGAAAAAGATCACCGAGTCCATGCTAAGAAACCACCGAGAAATTGCAATTACTGAAAAGTGAAAACCACCGCATTTGTAATCCAATACGTTGTTATATTATTGAAGACAAAACACCAAAAGTCAACGGTCTTGTTCTTTTCCCACACCAATAAATATACCCTGCAATAACCAACTCTCATTCCACACTCCAACGCAAACACAACAATAAACAACAACTTCACAATCACAACAAAACACAAACACAAAGCAAAACATAACAACAGCATGAAAGAAATGAAACTGGTATGGTCCCCAGAGAAAGCAACTAACTCATACATCGATACAGTTCAAGCTGTAAACACCACTCACTGCCACGTTTCCAGTGAATCCGGCCTGGCGGAGTTATCCCAACCAGTATTGGTTTGGATATAGCTATTCGTCACACAGGTGGAAGACACATGTGTATAGTTCCGGACGAACGATCAAGATTAGAGTATGCAAAAAGCATGGAAGAAGCCGGTATGTCACCGGAGATTATGTTAGGGGAACCGGAGGACGTGATGGTTGGTTTAATCGGAATCGATCTTTTGGTTGTTGATTCTCGAAGGAAGGATTTTCCGAGAGTGTTGAGGTTGAGGTGAGTGTTAAAGGTGCTGTGTTGATATCTAAGAATGCCAATTTTATTTCTAAGATGGATTCTAGTTATATATGGCGGAGCGTGGTGGCGAGGGGATTGAGAGGGCTGGTTCCTTTGGTGTTTCTTCCGGTGGGGAAGGGAATTCATATGGCACAGTTCTCGGTTGTCGATGGTGGCGGTGAGAACTTTGTTTCGGGTAAAGCATAACCGATGGATCAAACATGTTGATCAACGAACAGGGAATGTTCACTTTATTAGAAAATAAAAAATAGAATTTTTTTAATGATAATTTCAAAATTCAACATTTTTCCTCTTTTGTAATAGAGTTGATTATGATTATGAAAAATATACTTTATTCTTTACTCTCAAATATTCCTTCCTCCCGGATCAAATTATAAGTTATAAATTATGGAATATTTTGCACAAATTAAAAAACATAATTATTTTAATAAAAAAACATATGTAGTATTTTGCAATAATATCATTTGCATACGAAGACAAATTAAAAGTTTGTCATTTGTATGAAAAGCTTGCAACGAAAGATAGATTCCACTGGTTTAGTCTGATTGATGGTCTCTCTATGTTTAGATTGAAACAATCCACCATCTTCTGTATCTTAAGTGTGCAGCGCTGAAACATATTTGGTAAGGTGGACAAAAAATAACCATTTGTTTGGACTCGATTGGTCCGAATTTGATTTTTGGCCACGGTTCGGTTTATTTTAGTTTACGGATTTTTTCGATCCAATTGATTGGATATCAACAGTTAAGATTCATCGGGCTCGGTTGGTAAATTATGGCATGTTGGAATCTGATCCGAACCGAACAAATTATATACTAATAATTATAATTATTAATATGTTGGATCTCAAATTTTTGGCCCAAATTAATATCCATATAGATGTTTCAGGACTAGGGTTTCTCATTTTTTCACTTCTTTGTTTCCATCACCCTTACTCGTTAGAGTTTTCGTCGCCGTTATGCTATGAAGGAGTTGTCTCTTCCACTTTCATACTCTATATTTTCTCCTTCTTCGTCTCTCTTCTATAAATAATCATCAATCATCTCGAACTTTGATTTGTTAATGTTGTCTCTCTCTCTCTCTCTCTCTCTCTCTCTCTCTCTCTCTCTCTCTCTCTCTCTCTCTCTCTCTCTCTCTCTCTCTCTCTCTCTCTCTCTCATCTCAAACCGTCTAACTCATCATCAACCACGTCGTCTCTGTCACCGTCTTCATCTCCTTTTTATTTCTGACTACCGAAACTACCCTCGGTGTTCTCATCTTCATCTTCGAGCAACTCTACTTTTCAAAGCGATGCGCTTTTATAGAGATAGTGACCAATGATACTTGATATATTTGTTTCTCCTTTGGGATTTGGAGTTCCAGCGACAGCGTCTGCGATGGCGCGTGATGTTGTTGCGGTGGAAGGATATGGGTATTCAGTTTATTGTACGAGAGGGAGGAAGGAGTATATGAAATATCGTTATACTGCTGGGGATAAGCTTCGTGGAGAAAGTAATTTGGTAAGAAAATTTTTCACTTTTTGAATTTTTAGTTTGGTTATAATATAATAGAATATCGAGTGGTTATATGTTGGTTTTGACTATGACATGTTTGGTGAAAGTTTGAAACTTGGTTTCTTAATTTGATTTGGGTCTGGTTGAATTATAAATTGTTTTGAGATTTTGAATAAAAAAATTAGGGCTATAAATTTTGTAACATTGATTGAAGTTTGAAGAATATGCTTGATTCTTGTTGTTAATGACTTTGTTTAGATGTGAATTGTATAAAATCTAACTTGTGCAAGTTTATTTTGTGATCATTGCAGTTTTTTTTAGTGCTTGATGGACATGGAGGTGCGAAAGCTGCGGAATTTGCGAAAAATAACATGGAAAATAACATCTTGGATGAGGTTATCATGAGTGAAGAACAAGATGACGAGGAGGCAGTGAAGCGCAATACTGATTCTGAGTTCATGAAACAAGATCTCCATGGTGGTTCTTATTGTGTAACAGCATTGATTAGGAATGGTAACTTAGTTGTATCTAACGTTGGTGATTTTCGTGCTATTATTAGTATAGGAGGAGTTACAGAGGCCCTAACATCTGATCACCGACCTTCAAAGGAAGATGAACCGGAAAGAATTGAGACCTCGGTAAACTTTCTGATCATTGTAGTGTTTTTTTACCCGATGTTTGTTTAAACCAATGTTTGAGTTTGGTTCTTTTGGTTCTTACGCATTGAAATTTGTCTTGCAGGATAGTTATGTTGATTTATGTCGTAGTGTTTGGAGGATTCAAGGATCTCTGGCTATATCTAGAGCTATCGGAGATCGACACCTAAAACAGTGGGTGACTGCAGAGCCTAAGATAAAGTCATTGGCATTGAACCCTTACATGACTTACTTATATTAGCATCAGATGACCTATGGGATAAGGTAAATAATTTTGAATGACAAATTGTTAGTATGTAGTATTATATTTACTCCTCTACTAGAGATTGAACTCTCAAATTGACTGAGCTACTATTAAACTCTCACACAGTTGACTAATGCTAATCAAGTTAGCAGTTAATCCTTTGACAAGCAGAACATTGTCAAGATCAGGTGTTCCTGAGCAGTTTAGTTTTCCAACTCCCTTAATTTCAGCTTTGGCTCCATCTCCAAAGGTCACATAGCTGGTTGAGTGAGGTTTGATGTCAACTAGAAGATTTCTAATCCCTGTCATGTGTCTTGAGCATCCACTATCAAAGTACCAGTCTTCCTTAGTAGAGACTTTCAGGGACATATGAGCTATGAAGCAAACATTAGCATTTTTAGGAACCCATTGCTTTATAGAGGACTAAATGTTGTGATCAAGTCTGGCTTGAGGTATAGAATTTGGATATCCATGCAGTCTGAAACAGAAGGGCTTTATATGACCAAAACGACCACAGTGATGACATCTCCATCTCTGGAATCTTCTTGCTTGGCTGGGTTGTTTTCTGTCGTGATGTTGAGACATTTGATGGAACATCTTCTGCTTGGATCCAGAAGGCTTGTGCCGAGGAGTGGGATTATTGTCTATATTAAATCCTAACCCTGTTTTGTCTCCCATCCTTCTTCCAGATTGAAGAATCTCTTCCAAGGTTTTGGTACCACTGTTCATCGTTCTAACACACTTTCCCATTTGATCAAGTTGGGAAGTCAGATGATCAACTTCCTCATTTAACTTAGTGATAGTTTTAAACTGTTCAGCAACTTCATCATTCAACTTCTTGATAACTCTTAGGTGTTCCTCCTTTTCAGTCTTTAGTTTGATGATGAGTTTTTTTTCCACCTTGTTGGCATACCTCTTCCCTTCTCAGCCACATCTCTTTGTAGGAAGCTGCAAGTTCTTCAAATGTAAATTCATATTCACTTAAGTCTTCATCAGAATAGTATCTTCTAGTCAAAGCAATTACATGTTTGGCTGACTCTTCTTCAATATCACTTTCAGAATCTTCATCAGTCCAAGAAACAGCTAGACCCTTCTTTTGTTTCTTGAGATAGGTTGGGCATTCAGATCTGATGTGACCAAAACCATCACACCCATGTCACTGTATCCCTTTGCTATTTGTGGATTTTTCTTCAGCTCAGATTCTTCTTCCTGCATCATTGGACCTAATGATGTCCTGTGAGATGTTCTTGATATTAGGTATTGTCTTCATATCCATTCTTTTTATAACCTTGTAGAATTGTCTTCCAAGAAGTACTATGGCATTTGATAAGCTTTCATTTGTATCTTCATCTGATTCATCCTCTCTACTTTCAGTATTTGACACAAAGGCTATGTTTTTCTTCTTGTCAACTTTATCACTTATTCCTATGATAACGAGAAAACGCATCGATTATATCGCTAGATTTCATTGACGTTTTATCGCGCATTCACCGTTTTAACACTCGATTTCTCGAGTTTTTCTTACTATTTTGCAGGTACATCGTTATGTGAAGCCGGATCATGAATTAAGAGAAAAGGAACAAAAGAGACCACAAGGAGATGAAGAAAGGCAGAAGCCTGCAAAAAGACTGCATAATTTGTTGCAGCCACGGTCGTTACAAGGGTGTCACGACCGTGACACCCCAAATTGGGCCATCACGACCGTAAGGAAGTAGTCACGACCGTGACACTTAAAATCCTCAATTTACGAACGTGAAGACCTTGTCACGCCCGTGACAAGGATAAAACTTGGTTTTGACTCAGACTACGTCAAGGCACCACTGAAGACCACTTCTCCTCTTATTTCTCCTCAAGGCAGCACGTGAAGACGACTTCTCCCATTTTTGCTGCCACGTTCCAGCATTTCCTCAACAACTTCAGCAAGGCCCATGCAACAAAGGACCAAGAATCCAGCCCATTAAAGACTCTATAAATAGTACAAGCTCTGTGAACTCAGGGACAGACTTCATTATCCAAAATTCCTGCGGAAGCTCTGCCGAATTACCTTACAAACCAGCATTTTCATTCCAGCATTATTTTATTTTCTGTCTTGTTTTATTTGTATCCAAACCAACCGTATAACAATTTCCAACATTAGGGAATTGTTATACATTTATTTGTTTCCAAACCTTCAGCATTCGTTCATTTTTAATTTCCGCCTACTCCGAGCTTTCCGGTCTGTGGAAGAAGGAGTCTGCTCAAATATTTGTTAATCAGGTTTTTCAATTTATTGCAATTTAATTTAATTATAATGTCTATTTATTTTTCTGCCATGAGTAAGTTATTATTTAATTCTGTGTCTGGTTCAACCTCGATGAGCAGCTAAACACCTTAGGGCGGTATGTAGTTATAACAACTTAACCGGTAAAATATAACCATAGGCTGAAAATAATTAATCACTTAACATTCTGGCTGATACTTTTTAATTGAAATAGACCTTTTCGTTACGAGAGTAAGAAAAGGGTATTAGGTTGGGTCAAGACCACGAGAGTGTGAGATTTTAACCAGATAGCTAAAGTTAGGCATTTAAATTAAACACAGCGAGAGCGCTTTAAGATAAATTAGAATTATTTAGTTTCCAAAAATTACCTCTAAACACTTATGGGCTAGCGAGAGCAGACATAGGGCTTTAGGGATAAGATCTGATATAAGACCACGAGAGTGTGAGTTGAGGGTATTTAAACTGGTAATCTCTACCGAATAGATTAAGTGAACATCTCTATAAGCCTAGGTTAGATTGACCCACCTAAGTTAGTATAATTACATACCGACCGCCTTAGTATTACTTTATTAAAAACTTAAATTTAATTCCGCCTTTAATATTCTTAAAAACCAACAACAATCGTGACAACCGTTCGCCTTAGCTAAACTAGAAGTTCATCTAGCACTAAGTAACAATAGAATCCCTGTGGATCGATAATCTTAAATATTACTTCGATAGGCTGTGCACTTGCAGTAAGATACCGCTAGACGCATAAGTAGACACGTCTTTAGCCCATCATCCTACTTCAAAGGTTAAAAGAGACCCAATAAGTTCACCAACTCTCATCTTGCAGATGTTTTGTGCTTCCTCTATGGAAGTTACTTTCATGTCAAATCTCTTGGGAAGAGCTCTGAGAATTTTTTTTACCAGCTTTTCTTCTGTCATCTTTTCTCCTAGGGCACTTGAAGCATTGGCTATTTCAAGAATATTCATATGAAAGTCATGTATGCTTTCATCATCTTTCATCCTCATGTTTTCAAACTTAGTAGTCAGCAGTTGAAGTCTGTATATCTTTACCTTGGATGTGCGGTCATGAGTAGTTCTCAGTATCTCCCAGACTTCTTTAGCTACCTCACAGTTATTAACCAATCTGAATATGTTCTTATCAATTCCATTGAATAAGGCATTCAAAGCTTTGGAGTTTGCCTGAGCTAATTCATCTTCTTCCTTTGTCCATTCTTTCTTTAAGTCAGATGTAGTCTTTCCATCTTTGTCAACAATCACAAGGTGTTCCCATCCCTTTATGACAGCTTTCCAGGCCTTACTGTCCATAGATTTCAAAAAAGCAACCATATGTGGTTTCCAATAGTCATAGTTATTCCCATCAAGAACAAGTGGTATGTTCACAAATCCTCCTTGTTTGTCCATGGTACCATAAAGTATCGTCCCTAGATCTCACCCAGAACCAGAGTAGGATGCCTGCTCTGTTACCAATTGAAATTCTAGTATCAGATATTAGATGTCGAAGGTGATGTTTATGACATAAATATTTGTTCAAGCATCAATAAAAATAAGGATAAACAAGTAACAATTGTAAAGAGACACAAACAATTGTTAACCCAGTTCGGTGAAAACACACCTACGTCTGGGGGCTACCAAGCCAGGAAGGAAATCAACTAAGTATA